ATGGAATTTCATTCAGTGGATCTACATCCATTTAGAATTTTTGATAATTTGGGCTTTGGATTGAACATTTGCAATTTCTCTGTAAAGGGGTTTATCTACCAATATTTAGAAAGATATGTTTAACCTTTGATCCCAACTGAGAATCAAATCTGCCCCCCCCTTTTTATTGAGAGGGTGTGGTTGTCAAGGTGTATCTGAGGGGACAGAAGACTACAAATCTTGGGACGTAGAGTGCCAGCTTGGTTAACTTTTTCTTGCATAATTTCTTATTACAATTTTTTTTTTGAGTCGAAGTTTCACTGTTGCCCAGGCTGGAGTGCAGTGGCATGCTTACAGCCACTGCAGCCTCAACCTGCTGGGCTCAGGTGATCCTTTCACCTCAGCCTTCCAAGTAGCAGGAACCACAGGTGTGTGCCACCACACCTGGTTAATATTTTTGATTTATTGCAGAGACAAGGTCTCACCAAGTTGCCCGGGCTGGTCTCAAACCCACAGACTTGGGCAATCCTTTTGCCTCTGCCTCTCAAAGTGCTGGGATTTCAGGTGTAAGCCACTGCACCCGGCTTATTACAATTTTTTGTTGTGATAGATATACATAACAAAATTTACCATCCTAACTATTTTAAAGCATACAATTCAGTGATATTACGTGTGCATTTACAATGCTGTACAACTAACACCACTGTCCATTTCCAGAACTTTTTATTCATCTCAGTCTCTGTACCCATTAAATATAATTCTCATCCCCTCCCTCCAACCCCTGTCTCTATGAATTTGCCTATTCGGGATATTTCATGTAAGTGGAATCCTGCAATATTGATCCTTTTGTGTCTGCCTTAATCACTTATCAGCATGCTTGCAAGGTCCATGCACACTGTAGCAAAGTCAAAAAGTCATTCTTTTTTAAGACTGAATGATATTCCACTGGTGTTAATCCATTCATTTGTTGGTGGGCATTAGGGTGTTTCCACCTTTTAGCTATTGTGAACAATGTTGGTATGCAGATTCAAATCATGTCTGTTTGAGTTCCAGCTTTCCATTTTTTGGGACTATTCCTCAAAATAGAGTTGCTGGATCATATTCTATGTTCTTCCTAATTACTCCTATTGTAGCGTGAAAAGGCCAAGGCTCCACCTGACTGTAACACTGTCTAGATCAAATTAAATCTGTGATTGATATTGATTTCAAATAATAACAAAATACTTTTCCTCCTTTAAAAAGGGAAGGATAATTTTAAAAGGTTGATGTGTTATGTTTACTGATTCATCTCAGTATTTTCATAATGGTCTGCTCTGTGATTTCCCAAAGGGCACATTTCTTTAAAGTGTAGATTTTATTTTGTATTCAGGTATAATGAGGCCAACAGATCAGGACGTAGTTGCCATTGAAGGACACTTTATTTCTCACACAGCCTCACATCATGCCAAGCCACATGGGAAAATATTGGGGTTTTTTCAGGAAGAAACAGGTAAGACAGGGTAAGCAGATTTAGGATAATAATAATAATTGCAGCAGGCTCCCAGGTGTAGCATTTGCTCCTAGCTGTCTGGTGCCTGGCTTGGGGTGATTAGGGCAGAAGACTGGTGTCCTACCCTGTAAGAGTCCAATTGAAAGCAGGCAAGTGGATGTGTAGGCTTTGTTTGGGTTCATTTGCACATGAAAGGCATCCTAGCGGAAAGTCGTTTGTTATCTCAAGGAATTTGCTAAGCCTGAAAGGGGCAGTCCTGTCCTGATCAACAAGGACCCAGATACCAAAAATCAGAGACAGAAAAGAGAAAACGTGCTTGAAAACACACTTGAATACAGTCATTAAATCACAGAAAACAATGGAGTCCCAACAGCCTTGTAGACTTAGGGTCTGAAACAGTGGTTTTCAATACTTGGTGTCCATTAGAATACCTTGGAGAGTTTTCTAAAATATAGTTCTTGCTCCCACACCCAAGCCAAATGAATGAATACCTTTGGGCACTGATCATTTTAAAAGCTCCCCTGGTGATTCTCGTGTGCATTTGTGGTGATAATGGTGGGCCTAAGACAATGTTTCTCAAAGTCTTAAGCAAAGAACAGCAGCTTCAGCATTTCCCGGGAACTTGTTAGAAATGTGACAGAGTGAGACTCCAACAAGGAAGGAAGGAAGGAAGGAAGGAAGGAAGGAAGGAAGGAAGGAAGGATGGTTGGTTCTCAGGCCCACCCCAGACCTGCTGAGTCAGAAGCTCTGGGCAGAGCCCAGCCCTCTGTGATTGTACAAGCCTCCAGGTGATTCTGATGCCCACTCAAGATTGAGGACCCCTGGTCCAAGATAAAGAGCATCAGTGACTTGCCTACAGCATTCTCTCATTACATCCCTGACCCCAGTCAGCACTCTGTACTCTGAGGCCCTGGCAGAGCTCAACTAACCAAGCATCAGCCTACATGAGGTGGGGCTCTTCTTACAAGTAGAAATCGGCACAACTTGGAGGTTCTCAGGTTCCCCGAGCCAGTAGTCTCCAAACACTTTACCTACAAGCACTGTCAGTGTCGCAACCGGAAGGAGGGACCGAGATTCGGTAGGAAACACAACATGTAGTCAGTGCTCTGGTGACTGGAGAACCCCGAGGCTCCCAGAGGAAGCGACAATGCACGGGCTTTGAAAGCCAGGTGAGACAGGAATCGCCTGCCTGTCTGCACAGAGCACAGGCCCTCTGTACTCTGCTCGGATGAATCTGTAGTTCTTTTCAAGTATCTTCAAACTGCAAATTTTAATACTCAAAGAGGCTGAATAAGTGGCAAAACGGCGAGGCTTTACAAAGAAGCAATTGAAAGCAAATAGTATCAGCCAGGCATGGTGGCTCATGCCTGTCATTCCAGCCCTTTGGGAGGCCAAGGCAGGAGGATTGCTTGAGTCCAGTATTTTGAAATCAGACTGGGCAACATAGTGAGACCTCGTCTCTACAAAAAAATAAAAAATTATCCTGGCATGGTGGTGCATGCCTGTAGTCCCAGCTACTCAGGAGAAGGAGCACCTGAGCCCAGGAGTTTGAGGCTGCCATGAGCCCTGACTGCGCCACTGTACCCCAACCTGGGAGACAGAGTGAGAACCCAACTCAAAGAGAAAAAGAAAAGAAAGCAAACAGTATCAACAAAGGAAAAATTGACTGGGCTCAGTGGCTCAGCCTGTAATCCCAGCACTTTGGGAGGCCGAGGCAAGTGGATTGCCTGTGTCCGTGGGTTTGAGACCCGCCCGGGCAACTTGGTGAGACCTTGTCTATACAATAAATCAAAAACCAGCCGG